GGGCGCGCTGCGCTGTCACGATACGGTTAAAATGTGAAGGCAGCCCCGAGAGCGTCGCTTATTGCAATGAAAGTAAAAGCTGATGGTAATGAAGTGAAAATTACACGGGGTAAAGAGCTGCTGCTGGAACGTAAGAGCTTTAGTTTTCTTCTTTTTCACGCCATAAGTAAGCCCAGCCGCGTTTACAACTAGTTGAAGGGGGGATTGGCTTCGGGACTTTGGTTCCTCTGAATAAGGTTCTGGGTTCCATGGTATTCTCCGAGCAGACAGTTGGGGTCCCAAATAGATATTTATTTTTATGGTGATGGATTGAGGATGTTGAGATTTGGATGTTCGAGTGCTGTGTTGATTGAGTCATAAAACCAGTCCAGGATAGAGCGCCTTTAGTAGCATCCAGCTGCATTTTCCAATTGGATTCTAATTCTGGATGTAACTTAATAGCTGAGCAGTTCTTTTGGTTACTGGAGCTTTTACGTATTCCTGCATTTCTAGACTGAAGGTAGAAATATTTATGGACTGTTTGGGAACTGGGAATTAAGGAATATGGGAAGTTACTGATGTATTGGGTTCTAAAGAAGCCTGTGTACCTGCCACGAGGAGTAATTAGAATAGTTTAAATTTGGCATCATGCCTTCAAATACTACAGCGTGTTGGTTTGGAAGCAAATTGTTTCCAGAGGACTGTCTATGAACTTATTAAAGAACTTGTGGTGGTTTTGGCCAGACAGGTTCTTGCTTGAGTACAAATTTTAGTTCACTAGTATTCCAGTAACTTAAAATTGTTACCATCTGATACAGTTTGTGTGTTTTAAATGGTGTTGCAAGCAAGTGGCAATGTCACTGCATGACTGTTGTTCATATGCATCTCCAGTGACAGCAGTCCAGCTTCCTCTTTGCATTGCTTTGTTGGAGAGGCGAGTATTCCACTTGCCATCATTTACGAACTCATGCTGGTGCAGGGTCCTGGATGCTGTGTGAGAGGGTGTGTTTTGTAAGGTTGTGTGGTAACTTGCAGGAGCATGAGGAATATACAGAAAGCTTTCAGTTCACTGGGGTTTTAGGTAGGTGAGGAGTGGGCAGACCATTAGAAGTGCCTGACTGAGGATACTGTAGTCCTGGTCATCGTTACTGCGCAAGATGACATCTTCATTTTCCCCAGTGAAGGATGGAAGTGAGCTCTATTTCTGGATAAATGCCTAGTGCTCATCACTAAAATAATAGGAGAGAAAAGGAAAGGTCACAGAAAGTTGTGTGCCTCAACTGCTGTGTTTGAGAGACCACAAGAATGTGAGAGAAGTCTGCCTGCAAAATAGCATTTAGCAGCCTCATACTGCCTCAAGTTGGGTGGATAGGAGCCAGCTCCAGACCAAAGGTAGCATTTCTCTGGGTAGCATGATACTGTGCATGAGCTGAAATTCCCTCTCTGTGACTAGTTTGTGGTCAGCACTTTGCAGAGCACAGCCACGTGGCTGTTTATGTTAAGGAAAGATGAGTTGTTGCTGGTAACTACAGGTGGATTTACTGGGGCTTTCTGCTGAGAGTAGTTAAGTTCCTACATGGTTGCAATGAACTGGATATAGACTCTTAAAGTCTGACACTTCCATCCTGTGCCTCGTTGAGTGGAAGCTGTGTTGGTGAAAGCAGGTCACTGGTTGAGTTCTGTGCCCTCCTGCTGGGGGACAGCATTTACTTTAACATGTTCCATGCTTCCAGCACTGACGCTCAGAAACTTTGCTTCATGCTTTGATTGTCTTAAGTAGTTTCGTGGATGTAATCACACCCAAAGGTTATGTTTTTCCATAAATAGCTTAATGTGTTCAGGACAGTGTCAAATATAGCTACTGTTCCAAAGGACAGCTAAAGCCCCTACTAGGTATAAGCTGTCATTCTGCACCACTTTGATTTGTAGCTTGGGTTAGTTCAAATAAACAACTCAAAATACCTTTGTGAGGGCATTTCCCCCATAACCCTGTTTGATCAGATGATCTTCCTGACCGGTATTTCTTGATCTGCTGGGACTTCATGTGTGCAGACTGGTGCCTAACAGGAGTAAGCCTGAGGGCTCTCTTGCATTTCACTATTGATATCTAAAGCACTTAACAGCTACATACAAACATGACAATTAAATGTGGCCATTTGTGTATCCCAGTTACTTACTTAGTGCATCTTGTGTTGTGCCTGGTTACCTGCTGGGTGGTGGTGGTGGTAACTAGGAGAAATGTCTTCCAAGTGTAGGAATAATTTGCAACCATGAATAATACATAATGCTTCCACAGGTGATTTGAAAATATGGGATCCTCCGAGTGGCAGTTAAGCTACTCCAGGCTTGCTGTGTGTGATGTATTTAATGTTGTATCAGTTGTGTGACCAGTTGTACGTGCTTTGCTTAAGGATTTGATCCGTGCAAGGTCTGAAGCGTTTAAAATGTCCACTGTATAGTCACTGTTATGTACCAGCAGTGTTGGTTCTGTTAACACTGAATTGTTTACTGACTGTTGTCCATGAACAGAGGAGAAAGGAAGTCCTTCATTGCCAGGTGAGGGTTTTTTCCATTGGCCATGTTGGATGGCAGGATGCTGGTTTGGAACACACTTCTTTCCCATGCTTCGTGAGGGCAGAGGCGAATGGTCTTGCCTCCTTACTGGTGTATTACATGCTCTTTCTCACAGGTGGTGGGGGTGTGGTACATTGCTCAGGAAGGTGGGATGATAGTCTAAAAATGCCCAAAGGAAGGAGTTGAATCTGTGGATAGAATCTCCACTGGTTATTTCAGGTGTCTGGTGCAGGTGGAGGCAGAGGTGTCAGAGCCTCTTCTCCCCTGGAAATACCAGTCTGTAATTGAGGTGGGTCTGAAGGTGGCACCCAGTTTGTAGAACAAGATGACAGGATGGTCATACATGCGTTGTGAGTGTTGGGCTTCTCTTCCCATGTGCTTGCATTACTAGTAAAGTGTGTCTGAATAGACAGTGCTGCTATCCCAGAATCGTTTAAGTGAAGGGCTGATACTGGTGAAGCATTCCAGAAGCCTTGATTCAAGCCTTGTCTCCTGCAGCTTTTGATCTGTGACAGTGATCTTGATTACATTTGCTTTTTGATTTATCACCAGTGCTAATTTTCATAGTAGAAATACATTTCTGGGCCATCCTGTTCTCTGGCACGTTCCTTGTCAGTGGTGTATTTTTTAATGCTTTTCCTTGTTGCAGAACTTCCACCTTTGTTTAACACCAGATCTTCCAACCTAGAGACTGATCACAGCTGAGAACTAACCAAACATGAATGGATTCACTGCCATATGTGAGCTGCTTAGGTGAAGGGCAGTGTGTCATGCTGAAGCTTTCTTTTGGGTCAAAAAACCTGCCTGCGCAACCCAGGTTCAGTTCCTCTAATGCAATATTTGCAGATCTCACTCCTGTTTTAAGCTATTACTGTCCTGAGATGTCTGCCCCACTTCTTTTTCAGACAGAGGCAGGCACATGATCCTTTCTGCCTCCTCTGCTGTAGAGAGTTGCCTTTCTTAGCTGGTTATTTTTGGCCAAAAGTGAATGGTTTAAGCTGTCCTCAGCTGCATTTGCAGGGGCTTTTCCATTCGCTAGCTTCCACATTCCCACATCCTTACACATAACCATCACATAGATCTATTCTTCAAACTAAGCTGATTGTACAAATGAATGTTGCTGCCTGAACTTGCTGTAAATCAGCTGAAAAACCCTCCCCTACAGATCTTCCAGCTAATGAGAGTGCCATGGGCTTTGTATTGGACATTTCTGTGTCCCTCTACCCCTACGCCAGCAGAAGAACATGGGGCTGGAAGGTGCAGTGTTTCAGTTCCTCCTTGCTACTGCACTGTCTTCTGGATTCAGTGACAAGGAGACCCTTGCACTGCTGCCAGTGCTGTGTGTGGAGGGGCCTCTTCCCTTGTTCCCAGGGCTGTGGGAGACCAGAAGATGGTTTAGGACTCCTTTGCTGCTGCTTTGTTGAAGATAACCTGGGGATGAAGCTGTTGATGGGTGCATATAATTAAACCTTCCATCTCTGAAGAGTTGCAGGTGTATTGCAAAAAGCTTTTGGTGACATTTTAATAACTGTGTTTCAGATTATTCTGGAACACTCCACAAAAAAAGATCCTTTTGCTCCCAGTGTTCAGTGGTTTTATTTCTTCTTGTGATGGTTGGTAATACAAAATGGAAATTGTCTTTTTACACAAAAGGCATTTGAAGCATCAACCTTGCCAGGCTTCTCACCTAGTCCTGATTATACTGACAGCACTTGTGTGTATGAGAATTTAGTCGTGTATGTGCCAGTTCTTGTAGCATCAGCAGCTTTCCGATTATTTTTCCAATTCTGGGAAATTCTGTCAAATTGAGTTCTGCTGACAGGTGAGTTTTTTTAACTACAATATTAGTTGTGATCAGATAGGAGTGAAGGGTATTTCTCTGTTGGTTTAGAACTTATTTTAAGGTAACAGAAGTAAGCACTTGTAAGTCAGAACAAGTTCCTGTTTGAGTTCTACGAATTGAAGGCTCAGGATGAGGCTGCAGATGGATGTCCTTTCTGAAGGTAGCTGTGGTGAGGCTGCTGCCAGGGCAGATCTGATGACAGTGCTGCTCTGTGACTGCTCCCTCACCGTTTTCAGGTTGTCACCTGGGTTGTCACACACTGTAATAACCCCCCTGGCTGCTGTGTCTGCAGGAGGTGCAGAGGCCTCGGGCAAAGGGCTGTGTGAGGGGAGGCAGTGGAGCAGTGACTGAACTTCCATCCTTGCTTAGGAAACCTGATATGCTACACGTGTGCTCCCTAACACCGTTGTGGCCCTCAGTTCCTTTTCTTTAAGTAGTGTGTTAAACTGGAAAACCAGTTTATTCTTGGCCAAAGAGTAAATACTGGAGCTAATTGCTCAGTAGTCAGGTCTCCAGCATTTCTGCCGGGTGTACTGGCAATACCTTCCAATAGAGGTGTTACATGTGTGCCACTTGGGTTTGAATGTACTCCTTGAGTTTTGACACATGTGCCTAACCATCCTCCTATGATATCCTTTAACAGGACCCTTCCTACTTGGCTTGGAGTTATTTGATTGAGCAAAAGAGTTGAAAACCTTTTGAGTTCACTATGTGAAGCCTGACTTGGGGATATC